GGTCTACAGATAGCAGCAGTATCTGGTTTGAGATACAGATTAGGATAGGCATAAACAAAACTATTTGAAGTTAGTCAAATAGTCAGAAAAAAAAATATAAGATTAAAGTGAAGCTTTACAATAGAGATATACAAACATTGCATTTGATATATAATTTTTTTAGCTTTGCACAGGTTATAATAGCATATCTTCTTTATTTTTGTATATAGGTCATGACTTTGATCTCTTTTTTTTATTTTTTCTATCTTTTTTTTTTAATTTTTATATCATTAGTGTATATTTTACCTCTATTTTATATTTCTTTTTATATTTGTTTCTTTTTTTCTCTTTCTATATTTGTTTTTTTTTGGTTTATTTATTGTAGATAGATTATAAGTTAGTCTTTCTACTAAGATCTAGGTAGAAAAAATTTAAAAGAAAGAGGTGGTCATGACAGGCTAGTAGATTCTGGCTAGTGATTTGTAGATTTGAAATCTGAGATAGATCTAAAAAAAGCAAGAAGGCTGCTTCTGCTCTTGGCAGGTTATATATAGATCCAATTAGAAACTGGGTAAATCACATTTTAGTATAACACGGCATTAGCCATAACTTAGATAATCAATTGTAATTTCACTCATATGAATTGCTCTTTCTAATATCTTAAGTAATAAAGTTGTGGTATGATCACATATATATATATAAGAAAAATAATTTCAAGATTTTTATTAATTATTTTAAGTTTTAATATATACAATTTTACACAATTAACTTAGAATTGTATTATAATATGTCATTAATATAACATGGTGTATAATAGAATGTAATCACCTAAAAAAAAAGCTATACATTGGTCTAAACAAGCCCTAATGACTTTACCTGAATTTGCGGGTATTTATTTTAGTATGTTTAACGTTTAATTTCCTTTATGCATATAACAAGATTAACATTTGATATATAATATCTTTATAGTCAATTTATCACTATTAATGCAAGTACTCACAAGTAAGACACATCACGTCATCTTACTACAAAAATGAATTACTTTTACAAGAACACTACAGAAACATATATGGATTTTTCGAGTTTATATTAGGAGGGCTCAATTATGTATTCAATATGATAAATTTATTATAATAGAATGACATCATAATCGAAGGGCTCGATGAACCCTTGCAGCCAGACCCAAAAAAATTGTAGATAGATGAGTTGGTAGATCAAAGAGTATTATTAAGAATTCGAATTGAAAAATTACAAAGGTATTGTAGTTATAATTGGGTAGTAGGGAAAAATTTGTAGGGCAACTGATAAACTCGTGGAGATCCTCTATATACCTTCATTAAATTTCGTATACTATTAACTTGGGTTTAAAGATATAAAACCACTATTAGATGCTTTTGATTCTAATATTGGGTTAAATTCTTTAAGTTTTCATGACAACGAAATGATTATATGTTTTCACAATTGAGTCCACATACAATGTGGAGTATAGTTTATTTTGTTAATAATGTGCAGTTCACAGTGTGCTATCGAACTCAATAATTTCATGATATATCAATGTTAGACATCGCTTTCAAATAATTGTTGATTAAAAACTGTACGTAAGTTTGGATAAAATGTAACATACTTCAAATCTAATTCAAGGATTTTTGAAAATAAAATAGTTTATTATTAAAAAAAAAAAGTCTAATAGCTTTTATTATTTGTTTCGAATGCTTAGTTTTGACATTTTTTTAAATATGAAAGACATACAACCATCTTAAATGAAAATCCATTTTGTAAGAATTCATTTTTGTCATGATTGTAAGCATAGATTTCACTTCAAATCGACAAATTGTTCGTTCATTAATTCGTTGAAAGTATCAATGTGGTTATTTAAATAGGAAATTAAATTAATTGAATTTATGAATTCAGTGTAATATAGTTGCTAGGCAAACCTTTTCCGTACGATGACGAAAGACGAAATCCCGGAGGCTAAAATAGTGCCGAGGCTACTTGATCATTGATATTAAAAGTTTAATTGTGTAAGATTTCATACACATGAATAGTGTTCAAAAAAGTCGGATCGGATTCGGATTATGATCCGATCCCAACCGCGGATCAGTTTTGGCCTAGAAGCCGGATTGGGCCTAATTTTAAAATTAGAGTACCTAAAAATTCGCGGATTGTTCCCGGATCCAATCCGAATTTCGGTTTCGGTTCAATCCGATTTGTAACACTACACATGAAACAATAATATGAAATTTTATTGGGCATATCTGTAGGTGAAAAGTAGATAGAATATCGATCAAGCAATAGTAATCATTTACCACTGTATACTAATCTTAAGTTTAAATGTGATATTAATAAAATATTTAAAACTTATATTACAATAAAGAATTAATAAGTAAAGTAAAATTCAAATTTTTTGCCTATGTATGTACTCAGAAACATAATAAATGTTTGAAATTTTCAAATTTTCATACACCTCTGATCGATCAATCAAAATTTATATTATAAAAGAAAAAATTGTTGAATAATGTCATTGCCACAAGATGCCAAAGCCCAACAAAAGAACATGCTAAAGAACACAAAACTCCACCAAACCTAATGAAAAATATAAAGAAACGAATAATAAAAAGAGAAAAAATTTACCACATCTAACGAAAGAATATGTTAGAAAGAACTATCAAGCACAAATAACATACTCTAAAGACATCGAAAAAGCAACTAAAACCCGAAGAAATCATTAAAACCGACGAGTAAATAAAAAAAAAATCTGACAAGCCATCTAAATAAACAATCAACGTAATATTATTATGTAACGAATAAAGCAACGCATCGAACTTAGCAAAGTTTTGCATACCAAATCTAATAACGGCGACAAGTGCTCTAGTGACGAAATTACATTAAATCAACTAACGGCGACAAGTGCTCTAGTGACGAAACAACATTAAATCACACTAACGACGATTACAGCAATGAAGGCACCAAAGGGCGACGACACTAACAGCAATATCCAAAATCAGCAACAACGTTCTAGTAAACAAAAAACGATTATCAAAGCAATTAGTATAATAATTATCAAAGATACATAACAAAAACATATGCTGGTATCTGTTAGCTATTATTTAGTATTAACTAAATAATACCCAGGTCACACGGCGAGGACGTCAATACCAGAAGTGACCCAAAAACTATAAGAGATTACAAACTATACCAATCTTTCACAACCTGGCTTGTGAAAGCAAAAAATGCCCTCAAGAAATTTGAGCTTACTATAAAGTAAAAGTTAGTAACAAAATAAAAATCAGGCTCAAACTCTTGAGGGTAAAGGGGCCTTTCCCAGGTAAGGAAGGTGGCATAGTCTTCCGGCCCGTTCTTGACGCTCTTCTTGCGCGGGCCAGTCAATGCGCTAAAAAAAACTACTTACCAAAACGAAAAAAGTTAAAAATAGGTATAGCAACTGAACACAAGAGTGCACTGAAAGAAATACTTATCTTAAAGATTTTTAGCTTGAAGAACAGCTCTTATATATCCTTTTTTTTTTTTTGTCGCGTATTGTTTTTGGAGATCAACAACACGTAAGATCAATTTTCCAGGGATTAGCCAATCGGAGAACGTAAATTTTGATCTATTCGGATCAACCTGACGTAAATAGTAAAAGTTTATCTGATTGGCCGATGTAAATCAATTGCCCGGCGAAACGCCAGATTTTTCTGAAAAATAAATTTAATGTCAAAAATAGCGGAAGGCGAATATTGTGTAACTTGGTAATAAGCTTCTGGTACACAGATCTCAATACAGATCATGACTATTACTAATTTAAAATGGTGATTGATATCTTTGATCCGCTAGACTGTGGGTATATAGTAAAGAACAAGTATTTAAATAAGCTAAATTCATTTAATATTTACTGTATTTGTGATAATTAGTATGAGTATAAGTATACTATAATGGGTAAAAATCATTTATTGTCTAATTTGTCCGGTTGAGCCAAATTACCGTTATTCGACAATTTTTGTCTCAGTATTGTATACTTATTTTATTCGTACGTACGTACTAATCTAGCTTGTAAGAAATGAGCTATATCTGATACAGTATCATTTGTATTGTATATTTCATGAATATATATTTACTGTTTAATTTCATTTAGTTTACCATAGTATAGTAGTATGTATAGAAAATTTTGGAATTAGAGCATTAATACTGGAGAATTCGGAATATATGTATTTAATATACAGCGATTCGACTTAGTTGACAGTCGATTTTTAAAATATCAGTTTAGTTGAGACTGTAGTAAATTTATGTAAATTTATGTCGACTCGACTACATACAAACACTAAATTCTATTGTAACTTTAATTTGATAAAACTTGATTTCAACGTACAAAATATATATGATATATAATTCATTTTAATTTAAAAATGTAAACATATTTTATTATTATGAAATACTTTATTTAGATGCAGAAATGAAAAAATCCTCCCACAGTCTCTATAGCGATAGCAAATAAATCCGAATATATTTTCCTCGCATTACAACAATTCGCGATATTCAATGCTATGCCATAATTAATTCTACTATCAACCGCCAATGCGCAATTCAGTAATTTTGACGTCAACTACATTCTAAATATAGATTTTGAATGGAGCGATAAAGAGACGATTTTGTATACGAGAAACAATCATACAGTCATAGAGGTGAATACTCGAGGCATAAAGATAGAACCTCATTAATTTTAGCCATTTAAGGATTTAATCTAAATTTTATTTTGTAGAGCTTAATGAACTCCACAAAAAGAAAAAAGTTTATTCAGGTTGGATCATCGGATGACTAACGAATTGAAATTATATTTTCCAGTAAAGATTCTAAGACTCTATTCTATGATGGTATCCAAAACCATCTAAATATGGTATCTTGTAGGTTGATATCTATAACGATACTATATCTGATATATATGTCTAATAGTACTACCACGTGAGTCCACGTTCCAGTACTAAATCAGGTTTCTGTTATCGTTATCGAAAAATAATTTCCTAAAGATGTCAAACACGAACGGTGAATGTAAAGAGACCACCAGCTCTGAAATATCTGTATGTTTAATTATGCAAATTAAAGAATTATATGTTATATGTATAGGATATTCCTTTTAATTTACTTTGTTCTACGGTGTTTGCATTATAAAAAGCCAAACCTTAGCATTCATGAATCAACAGACCTTGGGTCACAAGTTTCAACAGAGGAGAATAGCTCAAAACCTAATGCTGGGATAAAAGATAAGAATTTGGAAAGAATTAATAAACGTAAAAGGTGAACATGATTAACCGATAACATGGAATTTTACTGAACATTATCTGAGAAATTTAATTATATATAAAAAGCCTCGAAGCTCTCGCCAAAGCTCATAGTTATATAGGATCTCACTCAATATGTACAAAGCCAACCGAAGATGTTTTCAATCCCGAAGATAGAAAAATCCGTGAGGTGAATGTGATTTATTTATGATTTTATATTTATACTGGTATGTTTATAAAAATTTTTTAATTCAATTATAGGAAATAATTCGAATGATAATCCAATATCTTTCGGATGAAGGCTACACTGCATCAAAAATGACGATTTATGATGAAGCTAATGTAAATTGGCATGAAAAAGAAGAACGTGTTGTAGAAGTAAATCGGTTAAAAAAAGCTATACTAGGTTATTTTTTTTATACCTAACCATGTTAAGAAACATAATTTTACTAGTTAATTTACAGCATTATTCACTAATATAGATGGTGATTGGGCTGAAGTTGATAAGCTTTGTGCTAAACCTTTGGTAAAAAATTCCAAAAGTTTTATGTATGCTGTATATAAGCAGCAGTATCTTGAGTATATCGAATATCAAGAAATACAAAAGGTTTGTATGGATATATTTATTACTTCATCTATTTTATCTATTTTATCATACATGTCAACTTACACCATTCTCATATTTGATTATAACCAGGCTTTTACATTTCTTAACAAAAGATTAAAACCTCTTGAACATCTTCAAACAACTCCTAATGAATTTAAAGAATTGTGTTATTTGTTAACAGCGAAATCTGTCCATGATGCACCATCGTTCAAAAACTGGGAAGGAATCGGCCCTGCAAGGTAAATTAATTTCATATTTTAATATTTAATTGATAATATTAATTTAATTTAATATCTAATAATAATATATATTTATTAGAGAGAAGTTAGTAGAACAACTTAGAAATATTTTAAATTCTGAAAATATGGATAAGGATGGTACGCTTATTATATAGAATATATAGACTGGAATCCTTGAAATTTTTTCTTGGCCACTCTTTGAGTTCGCGGAATATACCAGAAACATTCAATGATTTCTCACCGAGAAAGGTTTCGAATACGTGCCGCCCAATCGACTTCTTACGTTGCTTCAACAAGCTGTTAAATACCAAATCGAATGTTCTCGATACCACCCACGCGTAGCTCCAAGCGTAAACACGTGTGTTGATATTTATATTCCATTATCTTTTTTGAACTTGTAATTAATTAATTAATTATTTTTTATTTTCTTCTAGGTTATTACACGATTACTCCAGTTTTATAATACCTAATGCTCTACGCTCGACCTTTTCTGGACATGAAGGTAATGTTAAATGCGTAGAATTTGTCGGCGAAGAAGGGCGAGAAATTGTTAGCGGATCCAGGTATGTTAATAGTTATAATAATAAAATTTAAATCAACTTATAAACTTTATTTATATTTTAATTCTTTTATAGTGATAATACGATAAGAATTTGGGATATCGAAAGTGCAAAGGTAAAAGGTATCTTAACAGGTCATGAATCACGCATCTGGGATATATCATCCAATAAAAATGGCTCAATGATATCAAGTGCCAGTGGAGATGGGACTATAAAGGTTGGTTAATGATAATACAATAATACTATTGATTTTTATTTAAAGTTACACTTATAATCTTAGTTGTGGGATATGAAAACGTGTGTATCCTCATTAATCGGACATTCTGGTGATGTTTATACTGTTAAATTTCATCCTGGCGATGCAAGTATTATAGGCTTAATATTATCCTATTAAAGTTTCGCGTTTTTAAAGTTTATCATTAATATACTATATTTCTTCATAAAAGAATCATATTGTTACTGGAGGTTATGACAAGAAAATTAGACTTTACGATGTTTCTACTGGTAAACTGGTAAAAATTTTTACGGGACACCAATTGTCTGTATCGAAAACCATATTTAACCCTTTAGGCAATTTGATAATCAGCGGGTAAGTTTATATTAATCATAATTAGTTCAATTATTTGAACAAAAAGTTTTCTCTTACATATTATCATGCATATTCTCATGTATGTTCTCAGATCAAAAGATAATACAATTAAGTTTTGGGATATTATATCGGGATTATGTGTACGAACAATCTCTTCTCATCTGGGTGAAGTAACGTGTGTTGGAATGAACTTTAACGGAACATTATTATTAAGTTGTTCAAAAGATAATTCTAACAGATTGTGGGATGTTAGAATGGTATGATACATATTCTCTATTTAAAGAATTTTTTTAATATAAATAAATTGTTAACATAAATTTTTAACATAAATTTTTACATAAAAAATAGGTACGCCCGATAACAAGATTGAAAGGACATCAAAACACTTCAAAAAATTTTATTAGAGCCGGGTTTGCAAACAAACCATTAATTGTTGGAGGATCAGAGGTAGAAAAATTTTGTAATTTAAATTTTGTTGGTTAAATGTTCTTCATTATCTTAATTAACTTAATTAACTTAATTAACTTAATTATCTTAATTATCTTATCTTAATTATCTTAATTATCTTAATTATCTTACCGTCTTACCATGATAGGACGGAGTTGTGTATATATGGGATCAAGATACTGGAGAAGTATTGCAAAAATTACGAGGGCATTCTGGTATTGTGTATGATACAATTTGGAATCCCAAACAAAATTTATTCGTCAGTTGTAGTGATGATAAAACCTTAAAGTCCTGGTGTTATGATGAAAATTTACCATTAGAGTTGTGAAAAAGTATTAACAAAATATTTTATATAACGATATATATTGTATTAATTTAAATTTTCATCACGTGATTATAATCTTTTTATCTTCAATATATTTATTACAATATATAATAAACGTTATTAACAGTTATTTATTAGCAATTTTACATTATAGTTGTGCGTAAATACTAAGCCAAAGAAATTTAAGACTACTCGACACAATTGAGTAAATTGAGTAAATTGAGTACTAATTTTCATTGGTTTTGAACATTTTAGGAATTGATTTTTTTGTCTTGATCTATGCAAATAAGCCTTTTTTTCACAACCAAGTAGTGCGTGACTCTTCTTGTTTGCATGAGTCATATCAGATAATCTTCAGGACAATATATTGTTGATCAGCGGGCGGTGTTATAGTACTGTAGTAAAGTTTCGTTAATATCGATAATGCGTTTCTTTGTCTGTTTTGTAATTTTTGTAAGTCCGTTTGTAAATTCATTGATAGTTTGAACATAAATAAAATCTATGTAATAGACCATTCTTAATTATATTATTTTTCAAATATTGATATGCTCTTTCTCTCAGTGAAACGTAATTGATACTCCGTATTCATATTCAACATATATATTTTAATAATTTTAAATATTATATATATATCGATATACACTATATATATAAATACATATATAATATATATTTACATTAAAAGAATAACATTTTTAAAGTCGTGGACAAAATAAATTAACATAAAGTAAAGGTATATGGGCTCAGCGCCAATTTATTATCACATCAAATAAAGGCTTATTGTTTTATATATAAAGAATTAACAAATTGTAACCAAAGGTTTGCAGAATATTTATACGTGTTTAGGCAGATATATTGAATTGTGTCATTTCCGTATTCCGTTTTATCGGAAGTTTGGACAGCCGCCTATTGCGCCCAAAATCTTGCCTATTTGATTATCTATAAATGCTCTCCACGTCAACCGGGTCCTATCAACTTATTATACTAGGTTTAGGTGTTTATTCCCAAGAAGTTTTCTTAGAAAAACATTTCCCACCTTCTCACACACCAGATACGAAATTTTAAATGTATGTATATATGAGTTTAAAAGTCAATTCCAAATCGCGAGCCAAATTTCTTTAAACACATTGCTTATTTTTATTTTTATTGAGTGAGCTTGCGCCAGGAATTTATTTATAAAATCTTGGAAGATCGACATCTCGCGTAAAATGTACGCGGTTTACTAATTTTTACTAATCTTTTTTTGAAAATTTTCATCAGGGTTTTATTTAATTTTCGCGTCTATCTTTTTCATTTGATGTCAAGAAAAAATACTTGTATAGAAACAGCGCAATTGTTTATTGTACATTAAAGTTACGGGCACTCTTTTTCCACCAAGATATTCAACTAACTCTATAAATAAATATATACATATATTTATATATTATTTGGTTGTGATACAAAAAAGGTAAGATAATTCAGATTAGATACTGATATACTCACGTGATCAAAGGAATCTTTTTTTGTAGATAAATTTTGCAGATAATTTTTAGAGATAATCTATTTTTTTTTAATTTATTTTTTAAATCTTATCAACAAAATCAAAAGCAAGCTAAAAACGTAAGTGAGTATTATTGTAATTAAGAACTTACAAACCAATGTGGTAAATTGTTAGAGGCACAACATAATTCATTTAATTTGGCTCGTGGCCAAATTCAACTTTCCTAATCACGTACGTACATTTGAGAAGGGATGAAACTTTGAGAGCGAGAATCAAATCAGGGACATGTTGACAAACAACCCATCATATGATTTTCAAATACCCGTATGAAACCTATACATGAAACCTATACATAAAAAGGTAAATGAAAAAAGATAATACTATTTTGATCATTCGGATATTGCATTTATTATTTCGACACCAAGAAGGAATTTCTAAATTTTTGTAACGCATTGAGATGCACGAATGTATATACTATGCGAGTTTATCTGATGATATTCTATGTTCCAGTTTTAAATGATCGCTATGACAATTTTTGGGTATGATAGTGACTGACGCAAGTGATCTCATCCATCTGACATACTTTTTACTCCTTGCAGTGGTAATCTTTCCTTAGAATGAATTCGCGTCAGCAGATTTGATCATACCCCATCAACTTTAATATTAATAACAATAAAAGGATGACTAATAGTAACTATAGAAAAAATTTACCAGTTTTTCACCAGATCATAATGGTATATTAACAAGAAAAATTCTTGATACTATAAGGATTCATGATTGCCTCTTGCCATAGTACTTGACCAAAACTAGAATTAAGGTAATACAATATGAAGACAATTGTTATTCTTTTTTCGTTTTAAGGTTGGATAGTCGATTGATTGTAATACAGTAATAGCATGATTAAATTTTTTTTGTGTATGATCATTTTACACGCATTTACGGACTAATGCATCTTTTTTCGAATTAATGGAATTAATGGAATTAATGAAAATTTCTAATTTTTCTTTTCTTAAAGTTCCCACAAAATGTTTAACTTGCATTAAAAAAAAATTTTTTTTTTATTCAATTCATTTTGTGATACAGAATAATTATGAATATGACAATAAAAACATGTGCATATGTCAAATTTGACATTTTTATTATGCTAAATGAGATATTCATTAATGGTTAGAATAAATGAATTTAATTTAACCTTTATTTCTCAAAAAATAAAAAAAAAAAACCTTAACTTCCCTCTAAACAAAATACCTAGTAATACTTAATACTTAGTAATATAAATTCTAAATGTCGATTTTCGAATGATATGATACTGAAAATAGCATTTATTGTAGTTTCTATGGGAATTATGAATCGGAAGGTACCGATTTATGGGGCTGTGCTTGCCCGGAATCTAACAAAATATTCCATAACGAAAAAAAAAAAAAAAAATTAACGAGATCGTCTCTTTTTTAAAAAAATATATTCGTTTCGAGATGATTGATTTACTTACAGTACTTATTTTTTTATCGTTACTTTAATTTAAATACCGGATTCGTATTATTATCTGTTATTTAAAAAAAAAATTTCACGTCATGGCGGTGCAAAAATTTGTTGATTGTGCAATTTAGCGGGCGCAATATTTTTTTTTTTCTCATGGATCGGCAGTGAAAAAAAAAAGACACTCTCTAAAAGCGCTACACATTACGGAACGTACCAGGAAAGTAAAGAGTAGATTCAAATTATTCAAATTTCTTGCCATCATTACTTTTAAAGATTGTACCGTTGTGTGAAGAGTGAATTTGCGCGTGAAAGAAATACATTAACTATATTAACTTACTATAAATTAAAATGTTAATTATTCATTGGTTCAAAAAAGTTGTTCAGATCAAAACTTATTTATTGATTAATCAAGTTTCTTCTATATAAATTACTCTATATAATTATTCTATATAATTTATTCTATATATTATTATATATAATTTATTCTATATAAAAACTTGCAAGTTTTTTTAAACTTTTCTTTGTGACAACTTTATTTTTCCTGAAAATCTCTAATAATCAAGTTAAACAAATAAATACCTGCAAAGTGCGTAAAAAAAAAAAAATTTTTTTTAGATTATATCATATAAAAAAAAAAATTCCAGTTTTTTTTTTTTTTGAAATTATTAATAAAATCCTAGCCTTCTTGACAAATTTTTTGAAATTTTTTTTTTGAGTTCTTTCATCTTCCAACTTTACTTTATGCCCGTTTTTCTGAAATATTCGTTACGAAAAGTAAATACGGGAATCATTTATAAAGTACTTGAAAATTCTATTCCTTAAACAAAAAATTCGTTGTCTGCCTCTCAAGGCTTCCCTTTCCACATCCGAACTCCGCCACCCGTTCACAAAGTACACGACAACGCCTCTTTGTACCTGAAAGAAAAAAAAAAGCTCTTACTATTTTTCCTTTAGTATAATGAAACAACAAAAAGAAACAATTGAGGCTTGTTCGGTATTAGCTCTTGGTCGCCCGAGCTCAATGCCACAAAATTATTCTTCGTCAGAAGATATTCAAAGAAAATATCTACCTTATTATAACTCAGACTTGAGTTGTTCACCTACTTCAATGATAGAACCGTTCTCTCTATCTACGGAGGGTAATTACTGTTATTATCCTCCACTATTTTCTTTAGGGCCACCAACTTCACATACTTTGACACCGGATTCTTCGTCTCCTGAAACTTGCTCTGATCTAGACCTTGATCTCACTGATAGTTTCTCGGCGGATTCCCCTCCTTCTTATTTTACAGATCCTTCATTTCCTATTAAAATGGAGAATCTACATCAAGGTTCATTAAATAATGACCATGATTATAATGTTGCAATGGCCATGGCAAAAGAAATGCCAATTGGCCATTTCTCTCCATATTCTACACAAGGTATAGTTTTATATTTATATTATATATATGTATTATATTTATATTATATACTTATATTTATAATATACTTTTATTTATATACTTACATTTATATTTATACATATATTTTTTATTATTTTATTTTTTTTTTAGGGCCAATGATCTCTCATCCATTGGATTGCTTTTCTATTCCAACGGGTGCAGAATCACCTTTTGTCGGTGTAATTCCAACTTCACAAGAAAAGATTTCCAATTCGACCGCAGATCAATTATTCGAAATGGATGCAAAATCTTTTTTCCCACGTGAGTTGGCCGCTCTAGATGCTAGAGATTATTTTAGTGCCGACATGGCCTCGGAAGCTGCACGTCGCAAATCACTAGATGATGCCATCTTTCTCCGCAAGATCGCTTCAACTCCAGTGAAGTCTGAAGTAGCTTTCCAACAGCACAATCGCCGCAAATCTTTACCTGGTAATGAGTTATCTCAACGTCTTCATATTGAAACTTTGGGTACCACTACCAAACAGCAAAGAAAATCTACGAAATCGCTTGCCCCTTTCGCCTGTCCACATGAACATTGTCCTAAGACCTTTACTAGGCAATACAATTTGAAGTCTCATCTTAGAACCCATACTGATGAACGACCTTTCGTATGTAATTATCCTGGTTGCCCTCGAGCTTTTGCACGACAACATGATCTCAAACGTCATCAGAAACTACATCTTGGATTAAAACCCCATGTTTGTGGTAATTGTGGTCGCGCTTTCGCACGTTTAGATGCACTGAATCGTCATCTAAGAAGTGATAATGCGACACAATGCGCTCAAGCAACACTGGCAAATCCAACGGCTGGCAAGCTATTTAAATCAGTTAACATATAGAAAAGACAAAAAAAAAAACAAAAAAAAAAACAATTATTCTTGTTGCTTTAAAATTATTTTTCTTCTTTATTCTTTAATGAAGCATTCTAAAAAAAAAAAGATACAAAAAAATACAAAAAAAATACAAAAGAAAATGTAAACAAAAAAAAAAAGTTTTTGTTTTTTTAAATCCCCTTTTTATTCCCCTTTTTCACTTTCTCTTTCTTATCCTCCACTAATTTAAAAGTAGAAATCTATTTATCATTATTATGTATGATAGATGTTTTTTTTTTGATTAATTAGTGCTTGAGATTTTGTATATTATTTTCGTTTAGATTTCCCCATCCCCCAGCCCCCCCAGAATTGCAATTCTGCTTGTGTATATTTTTTTTTTTCGTTCCGTTTTTTTTTTTTTTTTTTAGCGTTACAATTCTTGTAAATATTTTAGCAACATAAGAAGATCTGGATATGTTAACTTTTTGATTCCATGAAAAAGAAAAAATCGGTTCATTGTAAATATTATAAAAGAGAATATTTAAGCAAGTTTGTTATATATGCTGATTCTTTTTCGTCCTATAAATACTTCAATAGTTTTATACAATACTTGTTCTAAATTTTCGTTAATTTTATATAGCTTAGCTTTTTTATTCTTTGTTCCTTTAAAATGAGAGTTTCTGTATTTGAATTTATTTTTTTTAAACGAAAAAAATGGCAAACTTTGCAAATAAAATTTTTTGACCTCAGAATTTAACTGATCATGTGACAATGTGCAAGAGACTCTAAAATTTTTTATTTACTATTGTTACGTTTAACTGACATGTATGTACTGTACGTATGTATGTATAGTATATCGATATGCATGCATGTATACAAAAGATGTTTTTCTCAACCAAAAAAAAAATAAGCAAAAATTTTTGACCTCGGAATTTAACTTTGGTCATGTGAAAATGTGCAAGAGACTCAAAAGATTTATTTACTATTGCTACAAGGTATGTATGTACGTATAGTATATCGATATGCATGCATGTATGCAAAATAATAGATTTCTTCTCAACCGAGAGTAGGTGTAACCATAACCGGAGATGACTTATACATTCGCAGTTAATTCAAGATTGTAAATACTTGGCGTTTATTTATGTCCTTTTCATTTCACCTTCCCTTTTAGGTCTTTGAATAGAATAACTGATAAAGGCACGGCAATGAAAGTAAAAAATCACGTAAAGAACCAAATAATATATTTTAATTACATCAATACTTTATCTTAAAAGGCATTCTTATAAACGGGGGTGCGAACTTGCGTAAAATATATCTTTTGAATTCAATTTATTATGCTACAATAACAACAATAATGAAGAACAATCATAAAGTTCACAAAGTATATATATAAAAAAAAAAAGGAAATAGCGATAGCGATAAAGTATTTTAACTACATAACTACATAAAAATTTTTAAAGAAAAATATATGTCACAAAAAAGAATTATTGTATTACAATTCATCTTTTTCATGTTTTAATTGCTCTTTCATCTTATCAAATCCTAATTTATCGGATGCTTTATCGTAACCCTCCGAAGCTTTGTTCTTAGCAGCCTGATAACCTTCATTCACAGTATCATACACAGTATCATACCCACTAGCAACTTTTTCTTTAACTGTATCTTTAACTGTATCATAACTTTCACCTAAATATTCACCGGTATCAGCCAACTTGACTTTTAGAGCATTCAAAAAGGATGAAACCTTTTCTTCAGTAAGATCTCGAACATTTTTTAGATTCCCAAGTTGTTCTTTTATAACATCGGAAAGGATCCTTGCTTGTCCAGGATTAAGTTGTTGAAGCGAGATATCACTTTCTATTTCATGCAGGGAAAGTTTCTGATCTCCTTTTTCCTTTAATTCCTGAATTTTGTCTTGAATACCCTTAATAATTTTATTTAAACGCTCGTCTCTAGTCCAGTAAGTATCTTGTTTCGTCTGACCAGTAGCTGAACTATAGTAATATCTGACGGCACCAAAACCTCTTTTGACTGTATCTTTAATATATTGAATCTGTTCAACTGTATAAGTCTTTCCACCTTGAAGAGTTTGACCAACATTATCAAGAATGGCCTGAATTTTCTCCTGAGTCAGAAGGCGATAATCATTAACGGTAGATAATTGATTTCTTATTGATTCAACAACAGTTTCAGCGTTACTTCCAATTGAATTATAGAGTTCTTTACGAATTCGTTCTAAAGTTCCATTAATAGACCGGTAATAATCTTCAACAGCCGCACTCAATTTATCATAAGCAGTGTTAACTTGATCAGCAGTCGCGATTTTATTTTGTGTTAATCTCTCTTGAATACCTTTTAATATATATTATAAATTAATATTTTTTAAAAATATGATCAACAAAAAATAATAATAAAAACAAAACTGTACCATGTAAAATCAGGCTAACTTGAGTTCCAAGGCGTGATTTAGCAAAAGCCCCGCTCTCACTCAATTTATAAATTTCTTCTTTAAACCAGTCTACAGTATTTTGAGAAATTTCCTTACTGGTTGATAAATCTTTTTCAATTCTGCTTGAAGCATCATGAATAATAGCGTCTCTACGTTCTTTAGTTAGGGAATATGAATCCTTGATTTGGTAAAGAGCCTTTTCTAAATTTTTATTCGCAGCAGCTTTGGTACTTTTTAATCGTTCGAATATTTGGTCAAAAACTGAATTAACTTGTTCTTCAGTAAGATGAGTTTGCTGCCTAATATTTTCAACTTGACTAGCGACTCTTTGACTGTATTCATTGTATTTGTCTTGAGTAAGTTCTTTCACATCGTAGTCAACTATTAAATGATATATAAATGATATATAAAATGATATAAATTAGAAAATTAAAAAATGTTTTTGCCGCAGTAAAACTACTAATAAACGAATTATAATTTTATTCACCATCTTTAAGAGATCCAATATAATAATTTACGAAATCTTGAACGGATTCTTTCGTTGTCTTTGATACTTCATCCTTATGATTCTTGACCAAACAAACCAAATCTTTCTTTTCTGGAATACCTTTATAAATTACACGATGCTCTGATAACCATTCTTTAAGCTCCTGTGAATTCCAAGTGCTAGGATCATTTGAGTCTTAAAAATTAATAAGGTGATAAAATGTTAAGAAAATTATATATATCTTGGTATCACTTTTTGACACAAAATTCTTTTTTTTTTTAATTACCATATGGTTTCGTTGCACCGATAAAGGTAGGTGTCACAAAAAATATTAGAAGGAGGCTTAAAAAAAATATTCCACGTGTAATCAACATTTTTTAAATTTTTTAAATTTTTAAAACAGTATTTCAAAAAAAAACTTTTTTTTATGATATTCAAAGGTTGAAACGAAAAAAATGAATTTTTTTACGAGCAGACGACAAGCTTTAAGTAGCCTCTTTTATGATAGAAAATTGAATTTTTCTTATGAACGAAATATGATGTAATTACTAATTTTCACAGTAGTCATTTAGCAGTCATTTTAACACTTGCCAATGGATTTACATCTTGAGTTCATGATACCACATTGACGCAATGGTTATTTGTTTTGATCCAAGTGATACATACATTTGGGGTTACTTTATTTTTAAGCGTTCACTGGTAATGTTCATTCAATTATATGGTATGGTTAGAAGCAGGACTACGTACTGACGTAAGTGTGATGAATCACGTGTCGAAAGTTCGACGAATTACGCCTTCTCTTAAAAAGTTTGTACGTTAAATTCAATTAGATAATTAACCACTTAAAGTCAAAGACATACATTATTATTGCATAAGCCTACCTCATTAGCAACAATATTACTATTAAAAATTAAAAAAAAAGTTGAATGATACTGTACAACAAAAATATCTACTGTATAATACTTCTGTATATACTGAAATACTGTATATACTTCTGTATTTGACCAATTTCATTAATATCATACAGTATATCCTGTATTTTCCAGTTTTTCCAGGTTTTTTTATTTTTTTTTATTTATTGTGATTGCTAATGACAAATTTACTATGTTACATCATTGATCTTAATTAATTTTTTAAAAAAACTTTTATACATAATATCTAATGATTGTTAAATCTATACTATTTTGTATAATACCTAATAGACTAAATACACTACAGTGACAAACTATAAATCATTGCGCAATGATCCGTAGTAACGTCATATCGATTAATTCTACTGCGGTTCAATATCGATATGAAAGAATTTTATGATCTATGGTTTTTTTTTTAGTGATATCTTTTTTTTTAAGATTTATAAATATCGAAAAAAAAAAGCTTCTTTTCTTTTCCATTTGATTCTCCATTTAATTTTACTCTCCATTTAATTTTACATCTTCTTTGTAATAAGATTAGATTTTTCTTTTTTAGAAATGGATGCGTTAATTGCATTGATACCATCACTATCAAATGGTAGTGATAATGAGATAGAGGATGATGATGTTTCAATGAATTCAGAAAATGGTGATAATAGTGATATCATTCAAGAGAGAATCGAAAAAAATAATGTTACGATTAATTGTAGTACCAAGAACATTTTAAGGAATTTTGATTTTGTGGAAAATCAAACAAAGAGATTAAATCAAGAGTTGGGTACTAGAGATGAAAATAATTATACTACGGATGAAGATAGTACAAGTAATAGCGAAAGGTCAACACATAATTTGAGAAAACGGAGAAAATTTTTGAACATTGGAATGGACTATAATTCTCATGAAAGTGATAATTTAGAAATCGATGTGGTAAACGATTTTAGTGATGCTGCATGTTCAAGCGATTCAGGGATAGATCGTTCAGGGACAGATCGT